TTACAACTTTGAATCTTAAGCATTTCTGCAATTTATCATTTCTATTGAATATCACAGCTCTTCGCTGATCTCAAAGCTGCAACATATAAACCAAGATCTGTATAGTGCAGTGATCTTGTTTACGCTACAAATTACAGCCATGGTCTTGTGCATAATACAGCTGTACTTTAACTGCATTGCATTTTGGATAGATCAGACAGTATCACGATTACTTTAGAATGGATGATTATGAGTATTGATCAGTTTGGGACACTAGAAGATCCCGTGGAGTACCTTGGGAAAAAACACACCATTCTTCAGCTTTTTAACCACACTGTACCTTCAACATGTCAGTGGTTCACATTAAAACTTTACTTCTCCTGAAAGCCCAAGAAATCTCTTTTGTTTCGTTTTATTGGATCTCTCATTTCTAATGCTGTATTTGAAGCATCAACAACCAGATAGAAGAGTTAAACTGAAACCTGTTTCCAAAATTCAGGAGCATGTGTCTACTACTGCACTATTTATCAGACAAGTCCAGTTTTGCAGCTTTCTGCCCTGATCACAACCAGCTGTCAAGGTTGTATTCCAAACCTGTGGCACATATTTCAATCATCATTGCCTACTGTAACAAAAATATTTGTGTTTGAAATAGGTTGAAAAATAATTGTGATAATGGAAGTCAGACAAAAAGTATTAAAGACATAACCAGTACCAACTGCATTCACTAAGATGAGAAATTTCACAGATTGTAATAAGGAGTGCGGAACAGCCTATTGTGGTACATAAAATATAAGTTGAGCCGTAGTTTAGCATGACTCACATAAGGCTATAAAAATGCTGTTACAGCAACAGCCCACAGCTAGCAATAAACTGTAATGTCTTCACTAGGAGAAGATTCTATTTTACTATAAGAAAATATAGTTTGCCCACACTGACCTTTACATTTATCTGAAGCAATTTTAATGTAGTTCACTAAAGGCTGACCCATTTCCTCTCTATCTTTACCAAAGCAGACCATAATAGTACTGGTTGCAGGAAACAACATAACTGCTTTCACCTCTTCCAAAAAGGGCTAACACAGCTTGTGTTAAGCATTAACATTCAGTGTAGAAACTACTGAGGGAAGTAACAGGCACTTAATTTTTCAATGCAAGTGGACTATCATATTTTTTTTGTTATTCACTTCCCACCTAAAACACAACAACGTAGAGCTCTGACCACTCACTGAACATGTAACAAACATTTAATACACTGATGGGACTGCTAATAGAGTTGCAGGACTCTTAAGAAGAGGTAGTATCTTCTACTAAACCATCTGACAGCTGCATTTACATTTACCTTCTGGTTCTGTAGATTTTTCTGTTAAATAGATAAAGAGTTCTTTACAGTGAAAGTTATACTACATCCATTTCACCAATTCGGAAAAGTAACCCTCAATAACAAATCCAAAGAAAAGCAATTTCCTCAGAACCACGATTTTTTGCTGCCATCACAACCAACCTCGATCAAAAGCTAAAAGCACAAGAAAATCAAGTAGTTTCTCAAGTATCAGGATTATAAATCCTGACTTTATATAATCTTGTTTCTCCAACATCTTGTGAACTGGTTGTACTCACACTGCACCTTTACTCTCAGGCAGGTGTTAATTTGCATTCCATTTCTTCGCATCAGAAGCGATATTCTCAAAACAATAGTTTTGAGACCTCTGCTGTTTTATCGCTGAATGTGACCAAACTTTGGAGTCAACAGATGCAAGATTTTGGGAGGGTGCAGCAGATGATAAATCTCACTGCCTGGCCAGTAGAATTTACAGATTCCAAACCCAAGAGCTATCCCTGCTCTTGGGATATGCATAAAGGGGGAAACAAATTAAAGCAAGACAACTAAGTAAAAATTATTAAATAGCTAGCAAGAAACTACAGTGGATGAGGAAATAACTTATAAAGCCACGTTACATAGAAGATTATGGTATGTATAAGAAACACAGCCTGAGCCTTCATTATTTAAACTCGACAGCCATCAAACGGCCATCGCTGACAGGAGGCCACAAAGCACCCAGTCCCATGTCTGCATCCATCTGTGTCTTTAGGTGTCCTCCCCAGCACAATCAGGTTTTCAGAGTTACACAATTAGCAAACCACATTCCAGCCCTGCACCAACCGTCATGGGGGGCAGAAGAGCTTGCTGAGAGCACCAGATAATCCCTGCCCTCCTCCACTTCTGAGGGTCTGGCCCAGTGCTTCCTGTGAAGGCTAAGAGCCACCACATTCAGAGTAAGTTTCACAAACAGATCAAAGAAACTTGATACAAAAGTAACCTTCACTTTAACATTTTAAAAGCCTGAGTCAAAACAAAAACTTACAAGAACTAAGCATCAGAAAATTACTTTGACTTTCATGTAAGATATTCTGAACAAGTACAAGAACCAAGGACTCTTGAGACAAGTTAGGAGACTATCTTGAAGCATGCCTATGTCTGAAAAAGGAAAAACAAACCCCAAATCCCAGGATATATCTCATCTTTGAGGTATAGCAACCTTTTTTTTTTTTTTTTGGTAGGAAGTTATGTGTATATATACAAATCAGTTTCACAAACTACTAAAAGTACAGAAGGGGAAATGAAAAAATGAGAATTTATGGAAGTCGTACTTGTACAGTGAAAGATGTGCACTTACTACACTTGCTGGGATTTTCTATGAACTCTTTTTGGTGCACAGCTCCTACACATTTATTTATACACAACTACAAGCAACATTTTATACCTCCTGTTACACACTGCACATCAATTCTCAGTACTGACTCTACATTTGAGAAACTCCTTTAGACATGTTTAGGAATTCCCCTGCACTTGATCTACACGAGGAAAAGTTAATAGTATTTGAGGAAAAACGGAATTTCATCAGCTGATTATGTTGCTGGTCCTCCTGAAAATTTGGGCCAGACAAACCTGGAAGAAATACATCTGACTTCTAGCAGTACTTCAGAACTACTAAATTAACAATCCTATAGATAATAAACAGCGCTTCAATAATTATGCTGAATAACTCTAGGCAGTTTATTTATTATATATAGCTGTCTAATGACAGTTACAGAAGAATATGCCAAGCTCCTGTACCTTGTGTTGCTGAACACTGTTTTTAAAGTCTCTGGAACCAAATGAATTTATATAGACACAAAATAATTAAATTTAAAGAAAAAAGACATGTTAAGTCTATAATGAAAACTTTCCCGGAATGAAGATACAAGCTATGAACCTCTTAGACAGTTACTACTATAGACAGCCTTAGTACTGAAATAAAAATAATTCTGCCAGAAGAGCATACCTCATTCTCTGAAGATTTACAGACTACAACCAACAGAAGTTGCATTTATGGGCACATCCATATGCCTACCAATGCTGGCATACTTTTTCTAGAACTGTATACTATCTATGCAAAATGCTTTCTAATTAGGACTGTTTCTCATTTATCAAAACCTAAAAACCCATGGAAATACTACCCCCCCCAACAGACAGACACACACACACAAAGTGGTGGTATCAGCTGAAATGTAGGAGGAAGAAGTTCGTTCTGTAAGAAAATTAAGAACTAAGCCTCTTTCTTCCTCTTTTTTCCTGTTGCCGTGTAAGAAGCAAAGTGATCTATAAAATAAAACCTGTTGAAGACCTGGCAACCCTACCTGCAGGTGACTGTATACATAACGCTCCCTCTAGAAAAAGTGGCAAAGCCTCAACCCAGGCCTCAAATTATCATCAATATTCCAGAAAAACAAAATAAAACAAGTACCACAGTCCTCTCCACTCCCATTAGTTAAAGTGAAATGAAGTTACACACACCACGTGATACCTAACATACCACAAGACACTGAAAACTTCACGTAGGAAATTAAAAACAGTGAGTTCTGAAGGAAACAATTGGTTTTTCAGCTCCATTCCATCGGGTCTCTTCACCAACAGCCTTTACGCCTCCATGGCGCATTAATAAAACCCACATCGCTCTCTTCTGTTACCCTGTTTCCACAGTCCTATGAAGAAAGCTTTAGAGTCGCTATGCTAATATCTGGGCTTAGGTACAACAGCTAACGTGTGAATTACATCGCAGCAGCACTGGCTCAGCTCTCCTTGCTCATCGGCCGCGGCCACACTTGTTGATGCTCGGTTCGCGACCGCGGCCTCAGGACGGCAGCCACACCTCACTGCCCGTTTCCACAGCCTCCACCAAAGCGCCCGGGCCTTTGACAGCTCTGCCACAACGCAAGAAATAAAACGCCCCCGTGCCACCAGCACCAGTTTGCGTGCCTGCCGTCCTCTTCCAGCAGCGCGGGGACAATCCTTCCTCCCCCTGCTGCTGGCTTACAAGCGAGGCGAGCCTGGGAGGCACGTCCAGGCCCTGCACACCCCCTCCCCGAAAATAAATCCCCCCTCCCAAGCCCCCTTTTCTCCTGCAGCCCCCCCCAGCCCTGCAGCCCCCCTTCCCCAGGCCGGCAGCAAGGGGCAGGGACCCCCCCGCATCCCCGCACCTCGCCCCCTCCCCGGCTCCCAGGCGTTGCCCCGGGGCCCTCCGCGGGGCCGGCGCCCCCCGGCCCGCCCTCACCAGCTCGTCCTCGCCGCCTGAGCTGGGGTCGGGCTGTGCTCGGCGCCCCGCAACATGAACCCGGCGCCTCCCTCCCCCGGCCGCTCCCCGGGGAGGCTGCGCCGCTCCGCACACACCGGGCCGGGGGCAGGAGGCGGCCGCGCTGCTCCGCAGGCCCCCGCCGGGAGGGCCCGGAAGCGGCTCGGGCCCCGGCAGGAAGGCGGCCGCCACCATCTCTCCCCTTCCCCGGCTCCTCGCTGGCAGCACCGCGCCCTCTCCTCGCTTACCGTCCCCCGCCGTCCCCTCGGTCCTTCCCCGCGGGGCTGCCGCTGCCGGCCCCGCTCCCCGCACGGCACCGGGCCAGGCCGAGGGCGGCCTGGTCTACCCGCGGGCGGCCTGGTCTACCCGCGGGCGGCGCGGGGTGGTACGGCCCGTTGCCATGGCGGCGGCGGCGTCGGGCGGGCGGGGGCCGTGGGGGCAGCATGGCCGCCCTGGCCCGGCTGCGGGCCCGGCTGCCGGCGCTGCGGGAGGAGTATTTCCGCAGGAACAGGTACCCGGAGGGCCCGGCTGCGAGATGGCGGCGCTCCGCCAAAAATAGGTGGCTTCGCAGCCTCCCCCCTCCGGCTCCCGGGCTCGTTTTGAGGGCAAAGGGGCGCCCGCAAAGCCAGGGGCTGGAGCCTGCGGTGGTCCCATACACCCCCCCGGCCTGGGCTTGTCCGCTATCTGCTCATTCGTTTATTTATTTATTTACTTATTTATTTAGATTGACAGAGAATCCCCCAGTCGCTGAGAGAGCTGATGGCTCTGATCCGCACTGCTTGAAGTTGAGCTCTGTAAAGCAGACCGGACAGCTTGTGTCTCTAGCACCTGAGATACGTTTAGTCTTTTTTTTTTTTCTTTTTCTGCCAAGTGAAAGATTTTTTTTTATGCCAGGAGAAGAAGGAGATGCTTGCCCTACCCACATCTCCACCTACAGAGCAGCACGCTGACAGGATCCCCCTGCTAGTGTCCCCTTTGTGGAGGGGCCGTTTTGCACTGCGGGGTTTTCTGACCATGAAGGTGGCAACTTTTCACACGTCAGATTTTAGGAAATAAGATATTTTGAGAGCTCTTTTAATATTTCATGCACCTGTACTATAAACCCTATTATTCAAATATATTGTTGCTGCTAGTGTGCATATAACATTTATACTCAAACAGAAAAAAAAAAATCATATCCAGGATACTTCTGGTTTTTCTTCACTGTTTAATGTGTCATTTTAGAAACCAATTACAACAATATTTGCATGACTAATACGGCTCTAACATTGCTAAAAGTTGAGAGGTCAAGTTCTGCCTGCATATAGAGCATTCCCATTCTTTTGCTGAACTTTAGCTCATACTCTCGTGGCTGTACACGCAGTAGTTCACTAAATGAGCATCAGTTACAGCAGACTATACTTGTATTTCACATACTTCAGGTTATAAAGAGCAGGCTGAGTCAGACGTCGAAATCCATTGGAGGGCAGCATGCTGGATGTTTGGGGATTTGTTTTTTGGCACAGCTTGCCAAAAATGAATTGTTTCCTTTTAAGAATAGGCTATAATCCATCAGCTTCTTGAAATTCAGAGCTTTTCAGCTGAGAATTTACATGAGAGCATTCAGTCTGAGCAACTGAAGGCCTGATCAGTAATCTGATCTTTGTTCATTAGGGTGAAAATCTTGAACTTTTTCAGCAAAGCTGTGAGTAAAACCATGAAACAAATCAGAATATCTTGTTTAGAGGTTTTGATGGGCCCCTTTTAAATTTAAAAAATAAACTTTGGGTATTGAAGTGTGTCAATTTTGCAATGGTCTTTGAAGTATTTTGTGCAAAATAAAAGAACAACTTTAGTTTCAGTTGCAGAACTATTCTATATAAAGTAATACATCAGTTACAGTTGTCAAATTTGGGATGCTATGGGCATGAGTAAGGGTAATCTGTGAACTCACTCATCATTCACAAGTAGTTGGATGGTATTCATACAAAAATGTGATATATTTAAAAAGCACGTTACTCTTTAAAGCCAATATTCTACAGTGAAATACTGGATCCCCCAAAAGACCTAACTTGTTATAAAGTATCAGACAGTGTAGAAGAGTATAGATGGCAAAGTACTTGTTTTGTTTGTTTGTATGAGTTGCACTGTTTGCAGCTACCTTCAGCGGTAAAGCCTGAAGGATTTCCATGTGTACCAAGCAAATTTTAAGACAAAATAAAACTCTTTCTTTCTTCGCCTATCTATCAAGACCTAAAAGCAGAACTTAGTATAACATCAAGAGCATACAGAACGTCTAGAGCAGCTTGACTTAAAGTGACTCTGGTGAGAACTAAGTACTCTTGCTAGCAATTACTGCTGCAGGGGGAGCACAGTAATTGAAGTGCCTTAAAGTAAATCCCAAATTGGAAAACCTTCTTTATCTTTCAGAATGCATTTGCTGTTTCACGACTTTACATCTGTTCCATTAAAGATCAGGACAGGCTGATGACTGTAATGTCCTGCCTCTTGATTGTGGTTAGACCAGTGATCGATTTAACATGGTTCTTCTTCTGATCTTAATAATGTTCCTGTCATTCTTTACACAGAATTGCATTAGTCTCAGAGTATGGGGTCTTCTAAACTGTCTGTCCTTTTAGGGAAAGTACCTTTCTAGGGGAGGACTTACCCATTTACAGTACAACACAAAGAGGCCTTAAGTCTGCACCTTGAGGCTGCAATTTCTCAGCAGAAGTATTAGAATATACAAGACCTGTTAGTATATTCACTTATTTTTCCAGGAGCCTACTTTTATATGCTGTAACATCTATATGCTAGATGTTGATCTTAACTATTTTTTATTTTTTTTTAAGTCTTTGAGAAGTATTTGGAACTCTGAAAGCTTAATTCAAACTGTATGACAACTATGCGTTCTGATCAGAATGGCAGATATTGCCTTAAACAACTTAAGCCCCAAACCACTTCTTTTTCTGGCAAGGCCAGCTGTAAGTGCTTGTGGAATTATATTGCAAGAAACTTAAGTCTGTTCTTGATCCACTTAAGTAAAAGTTGTAAGGACTTCTAATGTCTCAGCTGGGCTTCTGCTCTTCCAGAAGCAGACCATGGCTGCTCATATGTTCATATATTATAAATATGCTTATATTATATTCATATATTATAAAAATGTTTTTCATCGAACTCATTTCTGGAAGTGTCTGCTTCCTATGAAGTCTAGGAAGCTAGACAAGAAAATAGCAAGAAAGCCCTCTAGTATATATGTCAGCTTTAATATTGACTTGTTTTGTGGTCCTGTGTAAAAAAGAAGATCTCTTTTCCACAGTTTCTAGGTTCTGGAACATGTCTGATGCATGTCAGATGATGAGAAAAATGGGTGCTCCTGTAACGTGATGTGGAGGCACATGCTGCACCAGCTGCTATAATAGCAGCAGAGCTAATGCTTCTTGATCTCTGGTATTAAATTGGTGTTTAGTTTTTCATGACATATAATGAGGATAATACTAATTTATCAGATAAAAATTGCTTTTGTTAGTGTTTTCCAAGGCAGTTAATGTTGAAACAACAGCAAGAACTCACTAATGTTAGCTAGATAAGAAAACTAATTAATAGTAGCCTAATTGTTATTCTGTGGCAGGCACAAGAAATTTAACTATTTGGTAAACATGTTGCTAACAAAAAATAGGATAGTAAAATATTAAGATAAAATTTTAAGTTCATAAACTTGACTCTGACATTTGGAAAAACTAACAAACGAACAACAAATAAATAAAGCTAGAGATGGTCTCATAGCTGGTTTCTACCCCTCGGCACTGAAACTCATCATAGTCATGATTTCTTCTTTAATTCTCTGAAAAATCTCTTCATTAGTCTTGTTTAGATTCAGTTTTCCTTATGTGCCTTTTTGCTTTGTCACAATTACCATTCTCCTAATAGCCATGGAAAGAAGACAAGCAAGACTATCTCATGGAATTACTTTCTAACTTGATGAGGATGAGGTCCTTTCACTTGTGCTTCTTTCTCTGCTTCTGCGTGTGCGTTTACTTTGTACTTCCTCATTCAACACCAGTCTTTGGCAACTAATAGTTCCTGAAGATTTTCTTGAAGTCATTAATTCTCCATCTCCATCTATCTTGCATCTTCAGCTGCCTTACTAGTATCTCTTTATAGATAACCTTTCTTCTCCTGTAACTTAAAAACAAATTCTTCATCTTTCTCTGCATCCTTTCTACTTCATCTGTTCTTCTGGCATCTGTATTAATCAATCATGCAATCTCAGCATGTTTTCTAATTCTTTTGGTTCATTTTGTTCCCTCCTTGCCTGCCTGCAGCACACACCAATAATCTGCCAGTTTCATTTTTACATTATCTCCAAAATCCATGTCTTTGAATTCCCGGTGCACAAAGTCCTGTCAAGACTCAATTAACTGTTGCACTGACTACTATAATTCTGTGTAAAAGATCCCCATGATTATCGCTTTGGAATCTCTCCAAATTACTAATAACATTTGTTTCTAATTCCTGGCTTCTTCTTCCTTTTAAGCCACATTTAGATTCCATATTCTGCCATTCCAGGCCTTCTGAAGTTTGCAAATTTCTACATCTAATTTCTTTCATATGCTTTCATTGTTCTAACTTGTATTTTCCCCTTACATTCGTCTCTCACTTTTCTTCATTCATCTCTTCCTCTTTTCCATATTTATCTTCTTTAAATTCCCTTCTGATATACCAGATATTCTGATATACTGATGAAGAATATTACTCTTCAAGTAATATAAAAATAAAAGTGTTGTTTGTAAAATGTTTTAAAACTAGTTCTTACCCTTAATAAACACTTCTTATTGATTGAATTGATATTTATTATGATAATATTGACTGTAGTTCAGTTACTTAATATTCCCAGGGATATCCAATTTTATACATAGCTGTGGAGTTTTTGTTATAAATCAGGCCTAATTAAAGAATTATCCAGATTTTTCACCTACAACAGAAGAACATAATTTGCTGACATGCGTATTCAGTATTGTATGGGAATAAGAATTACACTCTTCCAAACAGTATATCACCTGTAGGTTGTGATACCTTAGTGTTGCAGTAGCTTACAGTCATATTTAGTTTTCATATCTTTTAAAAAAAAATTTAGTTCTGTAGTAATAGGTAGCATGGTTTGGGTTCATTCATGTATTGTTCTGAAGCAATCTGTTGCATTTTTCCATTACTGTCTAATACCAATAAAGTTTATAAATTTAATATTTATTTAGCAATCTTTTTTAGTCCTTCTTTCTGTACTAATTTTTAAATTTTTAAAATTGATTACAGGCTATCAAGTCTCCAGTCCTCTGTAGGGGACTTAACTTTTTTATATTCACACTATGCAACTAACCTAAATTATATTGTTATGCAATATTATTGAACTTCATAGAATTAAAATTTTAACTGTAGGTGAAAAATCCAGGGAAAAACATCACAAGCTTCAACAGTAAGAAATATTTTAAAAGGATTTTTTTTCTGTTTTGGTACTAAATTATCATGCTGATAGGTATTACTACTTTTTATATTTTCTATGATTACTATAACTACTACTTTTTATGTTTTCAGATGTGTAGATGAAGACAGAAAAATAAAGTACAAAGCTGCTGTCAAAATTCAGAGCTGGTTTCGAGGATGCAGAGTCCGAGCCTATCTGAGGTAGTATATTAGGCTTATTTTAATCTGTATTTTGTACTTGAATTTAGTTCCAAAATTTCTCATGGTATTATTTGATTTTAATAAAATGAGAAAATTTTGAAAAAAAAACAAACAAACAACAGTCTATCATTTATTCTGCTTTTAAATTGAATGAAACATATGCTGGGCCACTGTAAAAAACAATTATTTTTGATTTTCATAGCTATATGCAATTAAAATGGCAAGATGCTAGTAAGCAGCTAATAAGTAGCAAAGAAACAGTCCATCTTCAATATAGAATCATAAAATATCCCAAGTTGGAAGGGACCCATAAGAATTACTGTGTCTCACTCCTGGCTCCAAACAGGACCCCCAGAAATCAAACCCTATGTCTGCGAGCATTGTCCAAATACTTCCTGAACTCTGCCAGGCTTGGTGCCGTGACATCTTCCCCAGGGAGCCTGTTTCAGTGCCTTACCACCCTCTAGGTGAAGAACCTTTTCCTACCCCCCAGCCTGACCCTCCCCTGTCTATTTATGAGGAATACATGGCAGGGCACCTTTGACACTCTCTTATTATCCATGAATAACTTCAACGAGAAAACAAGTACTTATTTTGATACCACTTCATAAGTCAAACTTTTAGAATATAATTGGCAGTCCCACCAACACTATGCTGATACTAATAGACAGTATTGTCTGAGAGATGTTGACATGACTGGAGAAAATAACGTTCTCCAGTTAAGCTGTTTGCATAGACTTTTCTTATCTCTCTTGCTGTGGACCTTAGACAAAAATTGCCTAGTAAGTGTATGGTAACAGGATTCTTACTGTAGAAAATTAACTTCCACAGATCAACTTGAACAAATCGTATTTAAAGATCTTTCTTTACATATTTTCTCCGCTTACAAAACAAAGAAAAAAAAAACAATCACTCTTTCTGTAAATTGCCATATAAAACATATTTTTGGAAGCAGTGTAGCTGGTCCCTCCACCCAGAAGACCCTTCTTCATTTTTGGTCATAAGCCCAATTGGTCAAATTCATTTCCTTGAACTTCCTTATCTTCATTAAACTTAAGACTGTGAAGGGTAGGGATTGTTGTATCTTCTAGTTTGACCTCATGCTTGTCACAAGCCATTCGGTATCACCCAGATATATTGTATTGAGCCTAACGAATTATTAGGCTAAAGAACATTAATCACTGAAAGACCAATGGGTACAGACTACACGTGCACTTGTTTGAAAAAGAAGCTCTGGTAATCTATTGTCCATTGCTGCTTCAAGTGTGTTGTCACAGGATGCAGCCATCACATGCATGTGTTCAGAAGGCAAACAAATATGGTATTTCAGCCCTCCAAGGAATATCAGCTATGCTGTCCATGTCAAAAGCCCCTACAAAGACAGAGAAGACTAAGGAATGCCCTTCTGTTTCCAGCACATGAGTAACAACAGCATGCTGTAGAAGAAAGTGAAATCACAAGTGTCTTTGCCAATCTATTTGATATGAACTTTGCTCTTCCAAACACATATCTATATTTATTAATGACATATCTGACTTTTGTAACATACGAAGAACAACATAGTCATAAGGAGCATATAAGAAGAAGTAAATCACTAAGTGTAGAAGATGATTTTCTCTGCCATCGTGTACAGTGCTCCTGCTCACAGTCCTCTTTCCAAAGATGAATGTCCTCTTTCCAAAGATGGATGGATTTAGGAGCACAATTTCAATACAGTCATTTGCGAGTGTTCTGAATTACCCTCACATTTAGCTGCTTTTAATCACCAGCTGGAAAGGCCTGCCTCCACTGAGTGACTCTTGCTGTACTACAAGGCTTCTAAATTAGATGTTCATAGTTAGGTGGTATGAATTCTTCCCCATATGGATTTTGAATTGGTCAGATAAATTGCTTAAAAGAGTTCCTAAAATCATCTATATTATAAATCACATTCTTACAGCTATTCCATAAATCTTTTTTTAATAATATAGAAGAAAGTTTTTCCAACAACAATGTATGTGTATAAATATTAGGTCAGAAGTGTGTATGTGTGCATATATACACATCTGTATGTGTGAAGTATGTTTGCTGTGACCTTCTGTTTTGAGTATCATAGAATTATAGCATCACAGAATGGTTTGGGTTGGAAGGGGCCTTAAAGATCATCTAATTCCAACCTCCCTGCCATGGGCAGGGACACCTCCTCATATACCAGGCTGCTCAAAGCCCTATCCAACTTGGATATGGGTAATGCAGGATATTATATCCTGTGTCCAAGTATGGATAATACAGTATACATTATTTTTAATAATAGGAAATAATGTATTTACAGTTGCATTTTAATGTTTCAAAACTATCTCTTTTTAATATATTTCATTTTAGACATCTGAACAAAATGGTGATTTGTATACAGAAGCGGTGGAGAGGCTATCAAAGCAGAAGATACTTCCGAAAAATAGTGAAGGTATAAAACTAGTTTTAAAATCTTGTTTACATATTTATAGAATAAGTATGAAGTAATTCATTCATTTGCTTTGAAATTAAAAAACTGAAACTTTGATCCTTGATATACACAAACATGTACTTAACTGTTATTATCGTGAAAAGTGCCATTAATTTCAGTAAACCCACTCATGGTGGTCAAGTTAAGTTAGTGCTGAAGCATTGGCAGCTCTGGAGTATTCGCTCCCAAACCAGCAATAAGATCTGCTCATGCAGAAGCCTGCCTGCATGATGCTAATTGCAGGATTGGAGCTTTTCAAGATTTTTTTTTTCCCACTAGTAGAACTTTTAATTCTGAAAATAAAATAAGCCCATGACTGTACATACTGCTGTTCTATGTTTTAGTGGTTTAAATTTCTTACTTAATGAACCTTGAAGTATTTGAGGTTTGCCTTAAGGCACACAGCAGATCACAGTCAATCTAATTCCCTTGACAGAGTTGAAGATAGCAAAAGTATATGATAGCATACCAGCTAAAAGCTTTGTTAACAGGTTTAGGAGATTAAGAAAGAGCTAATTTGTCTTTAACATAAACCAATCAAGTTCTTAACATGTAGTTAGCTTCACTAATTTATCAATTTATGTTAATATTTTACAATATTTTTTACCTGATAGTCATTTATTCGTGATGAATTTTGTTAAACAGCTGTTCTTAGTCAAAACAGACAGGTCAAGCAAAAGGAAAAAACCTGAGCCATAATGGGCTAAAGTCCATACCTCCTATGTTTTTGAGCCTAAGGACTTGTGTGCCTGAAAGCTTATCTATTACCACCACCCCCCTACCCCAATCTATCAGTAACCTAATTCAAAGTTTTAGCTCTTCCAGTTTACCTGGTTTAATTATGAATCATCCTTCCAAGCTGTGGTTTTCAGTCCATCTTCTAAAATGCTCTTATTTTTGAATACAAGTTAGATAGCTGAATAGTTGGATTAGATAGGTTTGTTTGTTTGCTTGTTGTTGTTTTAAAAGACTTTTAAAAGACTGTTTTAAAACAACAACAACAACAACAACAAATAGGGGGGACTTAACTGAAAATTGCCTCTGAGTTTAGGGAAGTTTAGTTTAATCTAGAAAACCTTCTTTAGAAAAAGAGAGACATGATAATGTTAAAATTTGTTAATGAAAATAAAGCATCCATGCAGCCATGTTGAAATGCTAATTTCATTATTAATAATAATCATTTTCCTATTTTAAACAAAAAGATGTCTCTTCAGAGACTTATTTTTATGTAATAAGATTGTAAAAACAGTCATGCCTAGATAAGATACAAAACGAATACATCACTACCATGCCTACTGTCCGTTGCAGAGTTCTGAGTGAGACTGTAAGTGAGATGGCAAGCTAATTCTTCCCAGAGGGCCAACCTGTGGTATCACCATGAAAGGCAGTAGGCACAAACTGGAAAAAATAAAATTCCACTTAAAAATAAGGCTTGATTAACTGTGAGGGTGGTCTAAGACTGGAATGAATTGTCCAGAGAGTGCAAGCCATGTCTATGGAGTCTCTGTCTTTGGAAATACTCAAAGCCCAACTGAACAAAGACCTACACAATTTACTCTAATCGACTCTGCTTTGAGCAAGGGTTTGGAACTTCAAAGGTCACCCACAGAAATCCCACCTCTCAATGTATCTATGATATGGAAGGTGTTTTTTGTCTTGTCTTTATTATTTCTTTATTCTTTTGTAGTCTTTTCTTAAATCTGCCCATTACATTTGAAGACAGTCTTTCCAATTAACAAATAACATTAACATAATAACCCAGCCAAGGTAACTAGCATCATGAAAACTCCTTAGCTTTCCATTCTTAAAATATATTTCTGAAAAGAAAAAGAAGAAAGACTTTATGTAATAAAGCCTGGTATTTGTGCTGTTATTTAAATAGACATTACTGACAAGCCCTTGACAACTCTGAAATTTTGTGGAATAACATATAACAAAATATTGGGTAAACCCACTTAAAACACATTCTAAATCCTACCACAAATCCATCCAGATTCTGGATACTGGCACTTATCTAGTATTAGCCAGAGCTTTAAACAGAATCTGTCAGCAAGCTTATGAACTGTACAATCGACATAGAAAAACATATTTTCCATCAAAATCTTCATTTTGTGCTTGTTGTCTCTTTAGAGAGGACAAAGTAGCATAGCCTGATTGGAAGCCAACCTGAAAGCCATACAAGTAGCAGATAAAAAGGCATCTTTTTGTCCCTTTTGACTACTGTACTCGATATTGTATGTTCTCAGATTGGATTTAGATACAAAGTTCAAGTTCATTCCCTATATTCATCCCTATCTTTATGCACTCAATGACTGGGTGAATTTTAATTTTTTAATAAACTGGGTGAATTTTGGAAAATTTTAAAATGAAACAAAAATCTTCTCAGCAGACTAATGGAGCTTTTAAGTTAAAAGATCCATTAATATGTGTTGAACTCTTGCTAATAACACTTGTAATGACTCCTGATGATGAAATGCAGTAATACACTTGACATGACAGAATTTTTTTTCATATTTTCTTTTTGTTAAATAGAAAACTATTTGGTCACTTTAAATTTTTCTCATGATAATAACTGGATTGGTATCTGCTGCCAGCAAACAAGGCAAAGCATATGCACAAAATACCCATGATTACTTGATAATAAATCATTTTAATGATTATATTCAAAATTGTGAAATGTGAGTGGTACTGATGCGGAAAATAACAAAGGCTGAGGCTCATCAGATTGGCTGTCCATATGTGCATCACTACTAGTATTTAATTTGTAACTCCTCTAGTGCCGCTTCTGTTGATTTTTAAAATATATTAAGTCAAGAAATCCCACTATTTATAGTGCTTATATGACCAGAGTTACATGCCTTTCTGTATTCTAATTATAAATGCTTTGGTAAAAAAGTTCGATTCCTAATATTGATACCAAACTAAAATTAAAGACCGAGTCCCTACAGGTTTTTTAATCCTTTAGTTACATTGGTAGTACTGGGTTCTGAAAGTCTTGTAATATCTGCAGGAAAGGATGAATTTTAAAACCAGGCAAACACCAGAACATGAATCAAACTGTATGTCAGTGTTCCTTGTTTTAATGCTTCTCAAAGACAAGAAATCACCTGCTAAGGCAAATAGAATTCTAACATTTCATTGGTATATGAAGTTGGTATTCATGATGGGCATATTTTCAGCTCACTTTGGAGGGACATGCATTTATAAAAAGTGAGTTTTTTATGGTGCATAGTTTGAAATCATCTTAAATAGTTTAGCTTCAACTCAGTAACCAATTTTAAATTCCCAGTTCAATAGAAATTAGGCAAATGCATATTTGCTCTATAAAAAAAAAAAAAAGTGCCTGTTGACTTAGACCACATGTTCATTCCTTCTTTAAATCTACTTTCAATCAAATTTCTATTTCTCCTATGAAATGTTACCTTGTATTATCTGTTTAAATACAAAGAAAACACTAATCACGATCAGGACACATTTGTAAGTTTTTGTAAGTTATCCCCAAATGTGTTTCTAAATAGTAAGAAAATGATAAAGTAGATTAAGTTCCCAGCAGTTTATACACAAAAGATTCAAATATATTCTGGAATCATAGCCGTTAAAGTAAACTAGTGGGGAGACATATATAAACATCAGAGACAGATACAAGCACTACATAGTTTGGAAGTGGTGGTGGTGAGTGTGGATGGGATGGTGAGCTAATTCTTCCCAGAGATTCAGCCTGCCTTGGAACTTGGCACCCAGTGAAATGATGACAGGCAATGGGCACAAATTGAAATCCAATAAATTCCACTTAAACATGAGAAAAGTGGACATGAGACATGTCTTCTGGACAATAGGGACCCAGTTTAGAAAATATTTTTTTGTTTACTAGGGAAGCTCATAAATGCAGACTTGAATTAAGCATTAAATTATGCCTATGCTTTTGTGAACAGGAATGAACACATTGTCCATCACTTGTGGTAGCAGAGTTTAGGGCATGATAATCAAGATTAGAAAACTGAGGGCACATCCATTTGCGAACAAACCTAGACGGCAACACAGACTTTGGCTGTGTCCGAGGGTAAAGTTGTAAGACAAAGTGGTAAGAGCTATTCTCCATTTGACTGAACTGTGATTTAGAGCAGTGTTGAATAAAAGCAGGAATGTATAATTCCCATTCTGTTATGTGTGACCTTGTTAAGTAGTGGTAGCATAAGGCCCAGATTTGTCACACCTAAATGGGGTATGTGAGTTAGGAGCCTAGTTGCCATTGACTATCTCTGTAAATAGCATAGTGAGATGCATTTGCAGAGCTCTTCAGTATTTTACCAAGTTCTGTGGAAAAGTGATCTCCCTGTTTCAGTAATGATGACATGAAGAACATAATGACAATAGTCCTCCCAGTTAGGGTCTTCAGTGAATTAGGGTGAATTCAGATCAAAGTGGTCACGGCCTTCAAATATGAGAAGAATAAACAAAAAAGCGTGAAATTGTTTAATTTAATCACTGATGGGCAGAAATACAGCGATCATTTTAAAGCTTAGAAATCTCCATTAAAAATGTAATGGATCTATTTGGTGGTGCTGAAACTCTTGCATTCTCTTCCAAAGAAAGAAAGGATGAGCTTCAAAGCAAAATTACATCAATTTAATTGAACTGTTTAAGCACATACCTAGACCTGGAAACCATTATTTCATTCAAATATCTACAGTTAGCATCACTTAGAAAACATTTAAGCTGAGAAAAGTGAAGATAGAGTCCACTATTTATTCTAATTCATACCTTTGTTACTGAGATTTCCTCTTACATATATATGTATGTATATATATATGGGTATATATAAAGTGCACTTGTGTATGTGTGTATATATATATATATAAGTAAAACTTTTTTTTTTCTTTCTTTTTTTTTAATTTAGCAGTCCTGCATTTTTCTTTCAAATAGTGAATATCTTTTCTCCTGTATCTGTTATTAGTAGATTGGTACAATATTAAAGTGAGCATTTAAAATGTACCTTAATTAAACTGCAGGAATTATGCCTTGCTTAATGTAATGAAGAAAGAGAATTTAAAATGAAGTAGCATCATTGTGTTCATTTGTAAATAACATATTGCAGCCAACTGTTTCTTAATTGCCCAGACTGTTGATAAATAATCCAGTCCTGCTGCTCTCCACAGACAATTTGCTTTGGATCAGACTAGGCAATTCAAATAACACTAATTACAGTGAAACCCTTTTATAGTGAATTCCTGTTTGCCATGGGGGAGAAAATCACTATATCAGGGAAAAGCACTTTTGCCTTTGATTTGTGTCTAAAACATGAGAAACACATAAAAGCTGCATGTTGTTCTAAATAAAGGACATACTCTTGCATTCAAAGTACTTATATTTTACTTTTTATGATACAATTGTGAATTATGTTCATTTTGCATTTGTAATTAGAGGGCGGAACAGATGTGAAAGCTTAGTTTAAAGTGATGTATCCATTAAAATAACCTATGCTGCCAAGTGATTGCTTAGTATAATAGGGGATTCGTTCACTATGAGAGGAATTCTACTTTATTGGAAAGAAACCAGGACTTCAGAAAATGTTTTCTATATCAGGGGATTCACTATAACATGGTATCATTGTATTTATGATTTTATGATGTTGAAATGAATATTAAATGAAACAAAATTCCCAAGGATTACTCAGGAGGCAGCTAAGTACATAACATTTAGTACAGATGGTTGGAAGGCACAATTTTGCTCCATCACTGCATCCGTATCCTTGAACGATTTCGACTGAAGACAGCATTTCTTTGAATTTTTCATTAAACCAGACGTCTTGAAATATGAATTCCTTTTATGTTTCTGTGAGTTTTGGCTAAAAGAACCCCAGTGAATAAATCATACAATACTATGTGTCACCAGCACTTGTGAATATTTCTGCTTTGTTATTCTACTCTCAGTAGAGCACCATTGATTATCAAACTCAGCGGAGAGCATTTTATGATCATATATCTCCATTAGCTCCTAGTTTGACTACCATAGATTTTTCTGGTTAAGCCTGCATTATGTATTAGGAAGCCTATCTCTTCAATACAAAGTTTGATTTTATTCTCTCTAAGCCTAGAACTCTTATTATGTATTATGTATAAAGATTCTTATCTTTTATATGTAAAAATAGGAGCACTGTCTTTGTGTAACTGAAATATATGCCATCTTTTTTTTTTTTTTTTCCTTGATTCACAGACAGCATATTTTATTATGAAGATGAATTTCTACAATGAAATGGCTGTCAGGGTAAATATTTCTTCACTTGTTAAACAAATGAAAAGTCAATTGCGCTCCGAATTTGCTTTTAATAAAATGAGCAAACCAGAATAATATACACTTGATTGATATGCTGATGGCAACAGCGGGAAATAGTACATAGTTAAAAATTAAAGTTACACTCAGTAGTCTGGGATGTATTTGAAAACTGTAGCCGAATTTAAGGCATTTGTGTGTGGCTTGCCCCATTTAAATGTTCATTGTACCTTACCATATACTATAATGATAAAACAAACATTCTATCTGGGAGTATTCATACAAATATAGACATATATTTAATATTCTGACAAACTATAGGACTTCAGTGTTCACTGAAGTAGTGGTACATATCTTTTTGTTAGTACATTAAAAATGAAGTATTGAATCTCAAAAGAGTTACACCACACAGGACAAGTTCATTGCTTAAATATAGATTTGGAACTGCACTGATCTCATTGATGATATTACAAGTGATTTTTGCTAGATGAAGAAGACTGGAAGCAGTTCTGGAACTTTAATAAATATACAGCAAATTAAGTTTGTTGTGGAGAAAACTGCAAAATATCTTAAACTAAAATTAACATATTTATTTTTTTCCTGAACTTTGGTACTGTACTTAAGCAAATAAAGAAAACAAACAAGGTAAGGACATTAGATAATCCTTGAGATAAAATCTTTTTGCCTTCCTTAATTCTTTTGTTTTGTGAAAAAGAACTGCTTTACTTTAGTGGCTTGTATTTCTTTAGGTAAGGCATCTTACATTTTGAATTGTACCAAATGTAGAGATGTGGTGAGGATGGAGAGTAAGCCAGGGAGATTCCTGTGAAGTAGGAAGATGCCGAGAATGAAATTTAATTTTGTGGTCTCTCTGTCTCCCAGATAACTCAGAGTCAAGAGATGTGTCATTAGGTTCCCATCAGGTTTATGACTTGTTTCTGTTTTTTTCAAAGACACAAAAGAGAATCTTACATTTAGAGTATGTTAGAAATCTGAAGATGTTTTACAGTGATCACATTGCTCAGAAATGCACAATTGTTTTAGTTTATTACTTTGTTAGCTGGTTTGGAAGTATTCCACAGGGGATAAATATTGTATACTCATACAGTTGAAATCAGTGGGAAAACACGAGATGCAAGCCATCTCTCAAAAGTTGGCTGTGTACTTTTAGAAGGCACTTGAAGACCAAATTTCAAAGGTAATTATGTATTCTAGTCAAATGGAGTTTTGCATTTGGTCTTTCATTTTTGAAAGAAATTGAATGTGTTCCCATTCATTTGTAATGGAAATGTAATGTTGAATCATTAGGTGATATAAATCTTCAAAGTACCATTTTTTCAGTCGTCCTTTTCTTTAATGGAAATTTAAATCAGTAGAAAACAAGAGAACAGACCTTTATTTAGTTGCAAATGTCAGAATCCAATTCTCCTCTATCTAAATCTTATGCAGCCATATCTGCAGAACAGATTTTAAATGCTACCATTCTGAAACACTGAATTGTTTTTTTGTCATTATCTGGTTACTGAAGAACTAACCAAGGTGCAGGACAGTAGTGATTGAGGCCCATTGGCTTTGTGCATGGAAGATGTATGGCCAGAATTTACGTTTCCTAAGCCAACAGTGCTTTTCATTCACACATTGTGAACTTGATTGACTTCACTATTCTGAAAATAGAAAAATAACAGCGTTTTTTTTTTTTTTATTTGACCACTTAGTTTTGCCTTATTATTGAACTGTTTATTCCAGTTGCTAGTCACTGATTAGATAGGCACTTTTGATTTTGATATTAGAAATATTATTGAGGGTGTGCACATGCTCATAGTTTTGCAGTCAGTTTACAACTCTGTCTCCCTGTATTGCATTTAGTTGTAACCATAACTATCAATTTCACCTTTGTAAATTAAAAGAGAGAACTTGTTTTGATCAATTTTACTTTTGAGTACTAGTTTGCAAAATTATTCTCTCTCCTAAAAGATTTAAGGTACTATAAATTTTCAGCTGCAAAAGTAATCCCAGGGAAAAAAATATTTCCACGAGCAGATGGCTTTTGATATATCAAGGTTTTGCCATTTGTTTTAGTGCTTAAAATAAACATTATTTATAAGACCACTTACATTTTGATGTTACTTAATGAGGAATATGCATCATTGATTTGACTAGCTTAAGAGGTCATTTAGAACTTGCCCGTTAACAAGCTGTAATCTGCTGAGCACACAATGACTTTGTTTAAAATTATCTGTTCAGTGCTGATCAATGACAATAATTGTTTTGTACCAATCACTGTTGAAACTTGCTAATTACTTTGAAGGGCATACACATTGTCTCTTTTTTTCCTAAGAATTTTTAAAACATTCACCTTGGAATTAAAAAGAAATATTGTAATAACACATTATACTTCATTATAAAAGCAAACATTTAGAACTTTCACATTGCAAATAAGAACATCATCAGGATCTTTGTGTAAAATGCTCTTTTCCAAAGAGATTAGTCTTCAGTCTTCTAATCTCTGACACAAGTAATTAGTGAAGCAGAAATCTAGCATAAAATAATTTGAGACATAATGCAGTTTTTCTTACTTATGTTTCATTCAGTTGAAGTCAGTGAGGTCATTCTGGACAGAAAGTGGTGTAAATAAAGGTAGAATGTGGCATTTAATTGGTACACTGAGCCCATTGGAGGTAATTATAGCTTTATACAATTTTACCCTTTGTCTTTCAGTTTGAGTTTTGATCCTTTAACCCACAAATATCTAGTTCTATACTTATATCTGTAAGGTGAAGACTGTCAGAAAGAGTTTCAAAGGGACCATAATCCTGCATTAATGAGCACACAGCTATATAGGAGCCAAGTTGCTCTTGTTGAGAAATATTGAAGCCAAACAGAGAAACAAAGCTAAGATCCTTATTCACATGCAAAGGATTTTGCTTAATCCCAGATCTCTGAAGGCATACTCATTCTTTCCTCTTTCTATATCCCTTTTTAACCTGATGCACTTGTGTATGAGAAAGGGAGTTGCAAACACTGAAATTTACTACCACCTTGTGAAAAGGAGCATGTCTAGCATTAACCTTTCTTTCTCCCATGTTCAACTGCTCACATAACTATTATTTATTCATATTGTAACAATGTCCAGAGTACAAACCTTTTTCATTAAAAGCAAATAAGTGACACATAGGTAAAAGGAAATAGCAACTTTTTGTGTTAGTTTTGAGTCTTGTTTGAGAAGATGAGAAATAAATTGTGATGCAAAAAAGGGAAATAGGTGTGCTAACACTAAAAGTAAATATCCTATTATTCCTCATAGCTTTAGTTGATCATTTTACTTTCTTGGCAACATATCACTCAAAGACTTACTGAAAGCTTTTCTGTGATGCTTATTAAATCTTAGATAAAGAGATAATCACAGTTGTACCACCAGGTATCATCAGTTTAGATTAAGTGCCAGTTTTTACTTTAAACAATAGTTTTGGCTTCTGTGATTGAAAAATGGTACCAGAGAATACCAGAGTTTAAAAGAATGCAACCCTTAGACTTCATATAGGCAGCTCCACTATGTTACTGTTTTCAGCTCAGGAAATTGCAGCAGTTGCAAAATTGATACAACTTTTGTCAGTTATCATAGTTACTGGTACAGAATTGGACTGCAATGGAACTGGAAGGAAATTTTGCCTGTTACTTAAGAGCACTCCCAGGACTCGAAGATACAGGCTACGCAGTTGCTGAGTGCAAAGGCTGATTAGAAGTTTGGGCAAGGGGCAGCTTTTTTTCCTTGCCTTCTTCCCAATTCAAACACAATACGATGCTCTTCAAACATATACATTGTGCTCTTTCTGCCTCTTTTACACCATGCTTCTTTGGAATAAGAGATAAGGAAATATAAAGCATTTTATAATGCATCAGACTGAATCCTTTTTTGTGGAGGACACTATATAGTTTCTGTTCTTACTATAATCTCTGGACTCGCTACAGGTAAAAAGGTTTCCTTTTCCAGTTCCTCCCGTTTGGCAGGAGGAATAGTATTGTGTATAGATTATAACTAATGTGTAACAAAGAGACACACATCATCTTACATGTGAGATGAAACAATTGCAATTCGTAAATGATGTTTTCAGAAAGCCTTATTCACTGAGTTACTGGGAGGCTTCCATTCAGTTTAGATCATATCCAGAGCACATAGCAGAGAGTGTAACAGAAGACATTATTGAAGTGGATGATTGAATAAGGAATGTATTCTGTACCTTAGAAAATAGGTACCACTTCTTTATTTTTTATTTTTATTTTTTACCATTCTGGCAGCAGCAGACACTTCTTTTCATTGCTATACTCAAGCAAAAACTGTGGTTTAAAATTTGATATTATTTTTTAATGTTGACATTTAATATTAAATTCATAATACCATTTAGCTACAATATGTTACATCCCACCCACATTTTCTTCACTGAAATGTAGTGGTGCATCTACTTGATATCACTTTTAAGGACATGCTATTCTTTGGGAAATACTACAGACATTTAATATGCATGGAAACTTTCTATTTGAAATATACTAAACAAGTTTTTATTTCCTGTAGATTCAGAAAAGATGGCGTGGATATTATGTCCGAAAATATATCCATAATTATTATGCACTGAAGAAATACCTGGAAGCCGTTTCTGTGAATAATGAGATTGTCAGGTAAAGATAAAAACTGTATGTGGTAAAACATTAATTTCCTTTTCTTTTATTTGTAAGAAGTTTATGGCAGTAATTGAATTATTTATTTGACTGTAGGATCCCTTCCATTGTCAAAAATATGCATATATTTCAGTCATTATTCTCTTTAATTCTTGGCCAGTGTATGTTGTGCCAAAATCTGTTCTCATTTACACAGTTATGAATTCTAACTTCTTTGAATGAACCAGAAATACTTTGGTTTTATAACAGTTTAATTTATCTCTTCACCTATATTCAAAATTCATTGATCGTTGTGTTTTAAATATGGTTTGTTGAACTGCTTTTTTTCCTCCGGTATACTGGAACTAAAGATATTTTTTTTTTTTTTTTTTTTTAAATTTGATTATTGCCAAATCATAAAAGTATAGATTTGAGCCATAGTATAAATATTAATTGATTTTAATTGTTATTTGCCTTTGCTCAAATTCTCACAATCACTTGGGAAAAAAATTAAAAAGCTGCTGTGCTGGGATCCCTGCTTCTCATGTTGTCTTGTTGGTGACTACATTGTAGAAGGCAGACTTGAGGCTATTTTAGAAAGCAAAGAGGCTTGCTCTGTGGGGAGCATGCCTGTAAAGCAAAAGCTTAGATGAATTCTGTACACATTGGCCTAAGTGCTGGAACAGTCACAGCACATCAGAACCTCTTCAGGCCTAAAGACTCTCTGTGGAGAGTGTGTGGGCAGACTTCAGGCCTTGTGAAAGACCTTGTGTGGACACGGTTAAGGAGAATTGTCTTATGGTTATAGTACAGCTTCCCCTGTTAGAATTCTAGCTAAAACTGTTATTACTGTATGCTCCTGCTGCTACTCTATTTCTCCTGTCCTCTGTCTTTCCCAGTACTTAAGTTGAAAGCTTTCTAAAATAGAGTCTAATAAAATCCCTCTAGCTCACTTGGTGTCCTGGTACGTAACTATTTCTTCAGGTAACAGAGGAAACAAACAAAATACTCACTAGCCGAACTTAAGTATTACTTTCTCAGTGTAAGTGAAAGAGTGTTGCACAAAGTCCATGCAGCTTTTGCTGTACAGAAACCTAGGTCAAATCTTTGCTTTTTGAAATGGAGAAATATGAGGAAGTCATATTTCTGGAAGTTTCATCTAGATCGCATGGCAGGGGCAGTTCAGCTAGAAGTCTGTTATAGAAAATAGCATATGCAAGTTTTAAATGTAAAACACAAATTAACCACCTTTTTTTGAACACTAATTATTAATTTCTATTTTTTTCCACTATTATTGTTGCTGCTGCATCCTCTTGTCATAGTGTCATAACTCCTGCATCACATTGAAACATATTGATAACTGTCTACACATAATCTCTGATTACTGTTCATTTAAATGTATTTTTATGTAGAATGTTAGATCACAACTCGGCAAAGCCAAACTTAAAATATCTGTCATCTCTTCAACAGTACCTTCAAAGAAATCTGTCATATCTTCTTGTTTAGAATTCCTTGGATTTTATTTTTTTTTTTCATCTTGAAAAGATAAAATCCGAGGAAAACTAGTTTAAATCAGGGAAAGTAAATGAAGCCATAACTTTTCTGGTTTAAAACGAAGATTAATGTATGAACGGCAGAGACACAAACTGCTTCTGTGCTCATAATAGTTCTCATTTTGCCTAAGCCTGAAACAAAGCTCACAAGTCATCAGTTAGATTGATCTTTGATGTGTGCAAACAGAACAAGATAGCAAGTAGTATTCTTGCTGTGCTGAATACATTGATGGGAGCTTTGTATTTTATTTCTCTACACCCACAATAGATCTCTGTTGGGTACACGTGATTTTGGAGGACTATAAAAATATTTTTGTGTTTCAGTACTTCCACATGTTCATCAAATTCCATAGTATTTATTTCAGTTCATTAAAAAACATAAGGCATATGTATTGGGTAGGTACTTTAGTCAATAAATACTTTTGTGCAGTTTTTCTTTAACAGATAAGGTGAACAGTATAATTTTAAGTACATGAAAATGTGTCAAAGTTGCTCTGAGCACTTACTTGGCTACAGGTATATTGATATTCTGCAAGTCTGACTTCTGTATTCTGGAGTTCACAGGAATATTTTTCTTTCAGAAAAAAAAAAATCTTTCAGATTAAAAAAATGAAAATAAAAATGAATTGTATGGGGAATTTGATCAAACGGAGAATAAATGTCAGTTCACTTTTAAAAATGTGTCTTTTCTCAAGTCCAATCAAGTATTCCTGCAGTAATTCTTTGCTGGAGTATATTTGAAAACTAATATGTAAATTATCTTCAACATTCTTTTGATTAAATCTAACAGATGCTTAGTGAAGATCAGGTGTAGGCCCTCAGCCAAACAGATTTTTCCTGTCATTGGGCTAAGTTGCTGCCAACTGCTTTGGCCCCAAGGTGGCCCAGAGTAGGAAACACCTACTAGGAATACTGAAGGTGGAGGAGGGGTTCTCTGCATGTTTCCATCCCCATTCATATTAAGTAGAAGAGTATAACTTCATTGTTAATAACCATTTATGTGTATATAAAATTATTGTAACAGTTCATTGTAAAAAACAGTAGGAATTGTCTGAAACTGAAGGACTGTGTTTATGAACTGGCTGTGTTTTATACCATCTTCAGCATTATGGAAATTTACGTGTTGGCAGACAGAGCCATTAATACACTTGTGCACTTAGATTAAGCAGCTTTTGAGTGTTTCACACCTCCAGAACACCACAAAACAACAGAAGCATGATATGCAAAGCAATGCAATTGCTTTCTCATTTGTCTTACAGTTTCATTCATCAGAAAATATGCTTTAGTTCTGTGCCAGTACCAGTATAGAACCTAGTTTCTCCACAAATAGTACTAGAACCACAGTAAAACGGAAACCGATTTTAAAAACCTGGGTGCTATAAAAAGAAAGAAAGAAACAAATAAAAAATACACATTAAAAATTTATCACTCAAAGTTTGTTTAAACTGTATTCTTTCTGAAATTATGATGCAGTCCTAATCTGTTTCTCAATCTTCTATAAAAATGATGATAGAATTTTTATTTATCAACAGCTACTTGAAATCACATTGCAGGTGCTCTCAAGGTACAGTTTTAACCTGTTTCCAGAACCAGGACTTGTGCTTATTTTTCTCCTTTTTCATTAAGGAGGAGGACATATAAAATTACCAAACACTTGCTTCTGTCTAGGAAAAACTTCACAAAAGTTACTGTGGAATTTTGGGTGTTCTGTTAGTTTAAAACTCAGTATGCTACATGAATTACTGAACCGAGTTTGTTGCCTTCTCTCTCCTCCTTCTACCTCCATTTTTTTTCAATGCAAGACACTTCTCTTACTAAGGGGTTTTCTCAACCAATAGCCACATCTTTACCATTCAGCTTTAATACAAGCCGTCCTTATTTAATAGCTGCCCTCATTTAGTAGCCAGACCTTTATCATTTGTCTTTACCGTGAAAACCCCAGGAGAAAGTAAACTTAATAGAAGCTGCCCCAGTTTAAAGCCATAGAGGGATGTAATTAAGTTTAACAGAAATTGATTTAACAGAAATTGACCTAAAATATAATTAAATAATAATAGTCATATTATGTGTGAGTTTGCACACCTTAACAGACTGTTTATCCTAACTTAAGGCGCTGTTTTCACATGAACTAAAGATAGCTGTCTGTTTTAGCTCCCAGACTGGCTGAAGAATGGAGAGATCTTCCTCCAGCACTCTCATTACTTGCCACCTCTGCAGAACCAATAGGTTTGATGGCTGTGGGTGTCCCAAGTAGAGTCCCTAGTAGCTAAGTTAAGAAGAGATTTAGAGTCCCTTGACTAATGACAAAAGAATGAATTTGAACTCTAAACTCTGTCTACATAAGGATGTACTCTTTTTTTTTTTTTTTCTTGACTTTTGCACAGTTTAGCTTCAGTGTAACTTTGAAATGAGTTTCTTAGTCCTGAATTCTGATATTCCTGCAAGATTTCACAAAATCACAGAATGGTTAAAATTGGATGGGACCTATAGAGGTCATCTGATCCCAACTCCCTGCTGAAGTAGACACCTGGACTAGGTTGCCTAGGACCATGTCCAGGTAGCTTTTGAAGATCTCCATGAGAGAGACTCCAAAATCTCTCTGGGCAACCTGCGCCAGTGCTCTGTTCATCTGCACAGCACAGAAGTGCTTCCTGGTGTCCAGGCAGAACCTGTTGTGTTCCAGTTTGTGCCCATTGCCTCTTGTCCTGGCACTGGACACAACTGAAAATAGCATGAAATTAGGAACTTCCAAAACAATCAAGTAGGAAACACAGTCTTAAATATTTTTTTCTCCCAAATTTTGCTGTTTAGATTTTAGTAATAATTCTACATCTATAGCACCCATTTGTACTCAGTAAAATACCAATGCATACCGTATTCTTTCCAAATATGGATTAGTTGGATGGTTGTATACATAAATGCATACATTAAAATAAATTCCTTTACTTCTCACTGAAGTTAGTGTATCTCATTTTGAGGAGAAATACCTTGTTTTGAAACATTCTTAAAGCTACATCCAACATCTCTAAGACTTGGTAAAATAGTAAACAATGGGAAATATGCCAAAAACAATTAGCATAGACTATGACTTCATATGATGCATTAGGATTTTGTTTTATGTGAAACAATTTCCAATCCGTGATAAGCAAATGGACATCACTTCACATAAATTAGCATGCTGGTGCCATTATATCAGAAGAATTTATGGATAATGTCAGTTGCCCAACAGTGTGATTAACTTACGGTTCTTTGACTAAGGTTATCTACACGGTGGCCTTTAAACTATAGTAAAGCAACTTTGCTATATGTCAGGTGTGCAAGTAGAGATAAGATTTTGGGATGTAGTGCTCCATTTGCTGATGAATGGCACCATTTAATTTTTTTCCTAGGTACAGAACTCAGTAAGATAGCACTATCAGAAAACTAACAAAGCAGTGGCAAGGTGCTGGTGTAGGGGGTGCTTGTGTA